ATTTTGTGCCATGGAGATGCCTTGGCTAATGAGGCTCTCCAGCGTACTGCTGAGGCTTAGCAGGCTCCTGGCCTTCCAGGAAATGGCGTGCCATCTGCACCAGTCCTACAAGTCACCACGTGGGCCCCATAATGGTGCCACCCAGGGATACAGGGCAGACAAGGCAAGTCTGAGTCTTCCTTAATGGAACCGCACGGACTACATACAGCACCTGGGTTCTGCGTTAGCAAACCTGAGCCCGTGCTCCATCCCACACAGGATCTACCGCCAGGCCCACAGCTTGCTCTGCAGCTTCCTGCCATGGTCCGGCATCTCCACCAAGGGCGGCATTGAGTACAGCCGGACCATGTGACACCTGCCGGGCAGCCTCCACTGGGCCCCACCCCTCGGTACCCTGCAGAGCCCGCCTTCCGAGCTGTCTGACTTCTGCCACCCTCTGCAAAGAGCTGGCGGCCACCTGCCGGGCTGAGGGCCTGCCCTAGCTGCAGCCAGGTGCTACACGGGTGCCGGAGCAGAGTGCCGTGGGGCGCACCTGGTCTCCGACAGGTACACTGGAGCAGCTGGTGGGAAGAGGGGCACAGAACCCACTGGCACCCCACAACAAAACCAGCTGGCCCTGGGCAGGCACCCCTGCTCAGAGATGTTGGGAAGTGGCACCAAGGGCTGAGCTGGTTCCTGAACGATTCTCAGGACTTCAGGAAGGAAAGCCAAGTCCTTGAGCCCCTGGCCACAACTTTATCTTTTCAATTCCTGAATTGCATTTAAAAAAATAATGCATTCACATGGTTCAGCAATTGAAAAGGTACCAGAAGATCAAGCCCCTCCTACCCCTGCCCCCTGCCGAGGGGTGTTGGTGCTGCTGTGTCTCGGGTGCGCACGCTGGCATCCGTCAGGTGTCGGACTTCCACACTAGCCACACCTTCAGTTCCAACTGAAGGGCCGTGTGGGCCTGCCCCGTGGTGGGCTTCTCCCAGGCGAGGCTCTGCTCGGAGGCCACTGCTCTGAAGCACCATGAGTGCCACAGGGAGTGGGTCAGACCTCAGAGCTGAAGAGGCCATGGGGCCCGGGGCCCACCCCCTTGTGCATGGACACGTGCAGATGTGGTTTGGTGGGTGGGCGCAGCTGCACAGTGGTACTCCACGGCCACCTGGGCTGGACCTTCTCAGTGCCTTGACTGGTGCTGGGCCTGAGGGGAGCCCAGTGGTCCCTGGAAAGGGTTCGGCCTGGGGCAGCCAGCGCCCAGCTGTGGGCTCCTAGGCTGAATAGTGCAGGGTGGGCAGAGCAGCTCGGCAGAGGTCTTCACCCCTGCTCCCCTCTGCTCTTTCCTGCAGGCTCAGCCAGCCTTCCTATCAGCTCTGGAAGTGTCCACCTGCCCCTGTGCCCTGGTCCCGCCTCCACATGCGTGCACCAGCCCATGGCCTGCAGGGGTGTTCCAAGTTCACTGTGGTCTGTGCTGCTGCGGGGGGCAGGAGCCAGGCAGGGGCTTCCCTCTAGCTCCTTCCTCCAAAGCCAGAGAGAACTGGGGGCGAGGAGCCCACCAGGTGTTACCGACAGACCTGATCTTAAGGCCACAAGAGCCTGAGAATGAGGGGTTGAGATGGGGGAAAGTGGACCCTCCTCCAGAACCAGCCCACAGAAGCCTGGGCACGGGGAGCAGCCGCCACCTCTCCACGAGGGGCTGGCGCCCTGTTGGCAGAACAGGAGAGCCTTCCCACCCAAGCACAGAGCTTGGGCTCAGTTCCCTGACCCAGGCGGTGGGATAGCAGGCCCCCTGCTGCAGGACTCGTTCTGTCCCTAGAGCACAGAGCTGCCCAGCCAATGGCTGATGAACTGTGCAGGGAGCTGGGCTGAGCACGGGTCAGGTTCCCGGGTTCCTCTTGCCCAGGCCTCCCAGGCCTGGGAGCTGCAGATCCAGGACCTGGCCAGGTGCAGGCAAGCGGAAGTGGGGCTGAGCATGGTGTCCATCAAGTGGGGCCTGTCCTCTGGGGCTGGAGGCAGGCCGTGCCTAGCATCCTCCCGACCCCCTGCAGAACAGCCTGCTGCCTGCCGCCTCCCTGGGTGCAGGAGGGCCAGGGTCACACACACCCCATTGCTGCAGTGTCCCCGGCCTTTGCCTCAGTGGGCCAGCCTGAGCGGGAGGGGGAAGGACTGTGCTTCCCTCCCTCAGAACTTCCCAACCTACCCGCTCCTGGGCCTCAGGGTGGGGGAGGAGTTCTGAGGTGGAGGCCAGCCCCGCCCTCCACTTCTCCGCCCAGGGTACCCAGTGGCAGAGGGCTCTGTCGCCGCCCTCTCCACACCTCTGTGCTGACCGTGGCTTTGTGCTGGGGTCCAGCTCCGTGTCCTGTCTGACCAGAACTAGCAGCAATCCTGTGGTTTTTATTTCTGCCCTGAGGGGTGAGGGAAGCATCTTCCCGCGGGCTCTGCCTTGTCCGCCCCTCTGGCTCAGAGGCCTTGTCCACCCCTCCGTCTCTGCCCCCCATCACTGCAGTGTCCAGCCCAGTGTTGAACAGATTGTAGTGTTTTTTGTCTCATTACAAACAAATAAACAGGTGTGAACTGGTCACATCCTCTCCAGCCCCAGCTCACCGCACTGGGCCCTGCCCCCTGTGGGCCCCTCCTGTGACGGAGGCCGCCCAGAGCCCGCTGCCGGTCCGTCAGGTCCTGAGGACGGTTCCCTGCCAGAAGAACCGACTGTTTTGTGCAATTGCCCTGCCCCCGGTCAGCCCTGGGGAGGCCGTCGAGCTGAAGAGCTCAGCCAGCCTTTTTTTCCTCCAGTCACAAGGTCCTCGTTAGCTGCCCCCATTTGCCCAGGGGCTTCTGTGGCCAGTTCCCAGCCTTAAGCTGCAGGTGGTCCCCTCGAGATGCTCTCCTGGCTTAGAGAAGGCTTCGCAGGTGACCGCAGTGGCCAGGTGGGGACCCTGGCCAGGACACTCCACCGTGGGAGCCTGAGGTGGGGTGCCAGTGTCCCAGTCCCCAGCTGGGCTAAGTCCTGGACCAGGCGCTTCCACCCACCTCTCCTTGGAGCTTCTGGCCACCCTGGGGGCAGTGAGTTGTACTGGTCATCCCATCAGACAGATGAGGGAGACAGGGTAAGGGACTGGGCATTGCCTCAGCTCGTCGGTGACGGGCCTCTCCAAAGCCCATGGATGCTGTTTACCAGGGGCTGGGCATCCTCCCAGGGGACAGGACCAGAGGCATCTATGAACCGGCTGTGGGGGAGCACTAAGGGTCTCTGGTGCTGGTGAGTCACACCCAGGGTCCATCTGTCCGCTGTGTGAGGTCAGCCTCAGGATTAAGGGGTTGACTCCTTGGGGCCCATGGTCAGTTGTGTAGCCAAGTATCAACTTGTGGGCAGGAGGCGTTTCTCGTTGCATCTCACCCTGAAAGCAGCTTTGCCTGCCTGGCCAGCCCTGCCCCATTGGTCTAGGATATGGTCCCAGGGGCTGAGACTGACCACCAGCCCAGGTCCGAACCCATCCACCATTCTGAGAATGGGGTGGGGGCACCCAGGGTGGTAAGTGTGCATTTCCATGAGTGCTTGCTTGGGGCCTCAGGGGACCCTTCACATCAGCTCCTCATCCCCAGGACTGGCTTTTCTGCTCAGCCTCTTCCAAGTACTTTCCATGAAAGCTTGGGAGATTGGAGGCCAGCGGCCAGCTCAGAGCCAGTTTCCTTTGGAGCCAGCTTGTCCTCTCAAGGCGGAAGGAGCTGGGGCATCGGCTAGGGTGGTGCGACCTGCTGAAGGATCCACTTCTGTGGCCGGAGCTTGGCCGTGGCCATGGCCTCGGTTCCCTCCACGTGGCCTCTCCTGGGCTGGGCTGGTTTCCCACCAGGTGTGGGCTCCTCTCGGGCACTGGTTTCCCCACAAGCACTAGGGGCTGCCAGGCCTCCATTGCACCAGAAGTGACACCATGTCATTTACACCACATTCTGTTGGTAAAGCACGACCCAGAGCTGGTCCCCACACAAGTTGGGGGACACACAACCTGGGCACTGGAAATCTGGACCCTTGGGCAGGCTGTGCTCCTCTTTGAGGAGATCGGGCCCCTAACTGTCTCCAAGGACCATGTATTTCCGCTTGTGGCAAGGTCTTCCTTCTGCCCGTGCCCTTGTCCAGAGCAGGGTCTCAGTACCCCTCAGCCTCAGATTCCTGGGGGAGTAAATGTGGCAGAGGGAGGAAACTGCCCTGTCACCCCATGTGGCTCATCTGGCGGACCCTGCCCAGTCACACTGGGGATTCAAACACCTGCTGTCAGCTCTTTTGTGGCTGCTGTCCAGGTTCCCACTGCCCCCAGCCAGCACTCATCCATGACAGCCTGAAAACTGCCCTGGGAACCTAGTGCCAGCAGCCTATGAAATGTCCCAGGGTGGAGCCAGGGGACAGGCAGGGAAGGAGCCCAGCTGTCCTGGTACCCAGAGTGTCTGACATTATCACTTGTAGTCTGGCAGGATCCCACAGTGGGGGCAAGCCTTGCCCAACCCAGGCTGCTAGGAGTGGAAGCCAGATGGTGAGAGTCACGGAGTCAAAACTAGGTCCTCCCCTCTGTCTCCACAGGGCTGAGGCCCATGATGTCGAGTGGCAGGTGTCAACCAGGGATTCTGCTGTCCAGGGGCTGCTGGGCACGAAACATGGTTGTCACACTGGGATGAAGCTGCTACTGGAACTAGTGGGGAGAGGCCAGGGGTGCCGCTGACATCCTCTCCAGTGCATAGGATCGCCCGCCCCAAATGTCAACAGGGCTGAAAGTTGAGACTCCCTGGTACAGAGGAGCCCAGTCCGAGGTGCCTGGGGTCTAGCCCAGCTGGGAGAAGGGCTGTGCCCATACACCTGGAGGGATGACGCAGCTGGGGGTCTCCACAGAGCAGAGACTCCACCAAGCCCTGATGAGGGGTGGCGTGGTGGTCAGGCCACCATCTCTGCCTAAGTTGGGAACATGCTTCCCTGCCACCCTCCCTAACCTGGCCTGCCTGCCTTTGTCCTCTGCTCTGGGCCTGTTGAGACCCTGCCCACCCAGAAGCCTTCTGGGAGTCCCACCGAGAGGAGGATGGCTCCCTCTTCATGTAAGGGTGGGAGCATCTCAGAACCCCTGGGCCTGACTCCAAATGTGGCTCTCAGAACGCAGGTGCCAAGGGGCTTGGTGTCAGATCAGCCCAATGACATACTGCATGAGCAGCATGCGACAGCCTTGGCTTTTATTGGGGGCAGACCCGCAGCTTCCCAGCCTCTCGGGAGCCACTCTCCTCAGCTCAGCCTCCCAGGTACAAGTGGCCGACCTGAGTGGGAGCAGGCTGCAAGGACACGCCCAGGCTTCGATTTCTCCCACAGGACTTCCTCCTCCACCTTCTCAAGCCTTCCTGAGGCTGGCCAGGCTCTGGTGCTGGGCAGCTGCTGGGGCACCTCGGTGTGAGGGGCTGCTGGTGGGGCATAGCCATTCTTCTTGGGGACCAGCCTGCCCCTCCTGCTGGCATCTGCACCCCTCCCTGGGGACACCAGCAGGCACTCCATTGCTACGGCCCCTCCAGTGCCCCAGAGTGGGTCCTCTTGCACAAGGGACACGCGGACTCCTCCAAGGCCCTCCGGGATCTCTTGGGCCTGAGCCCCAAGCATTTGGGAGGGGGCACCCTTGGCTGGGTCTGTGCCGGAACTGGGAGCTGTGGAGAGGAGTCACTTTGAGGGACCCAGGGGGAGGCTGCCAGCCCATCCTATGACCCCCAGAGCCTGGTGTCTTTCAAAATAGGAGGGGAGGGAGCAGTTCTCCTTAAAAAGAACCCTTGAAGGAGTGAAGAAAGAAGGGAGATGATTTAAGCTAGGAAGACCCTCATCTAACCCAAACCACCCATTTTACAAATAGAAAAACAGGCTGGGGATGGGGGGAGCTGTCCAAGGTGTCTCATGGAGTTCAGAGCTAGGACAGGAACCCAGGAGGCTTGGGAGTGAAGAAGGACCTATCTACATCCATCCGGAGTCCCCAGTACAGCCCTTACCTGGGTCTTACCCTCCTGTCCCCAGCCCTCCTCACCTAGTCTGGTTGTCCCTGGGCAGTTGAGCTACCAGAAGGGCTGAGCAGTGGCTGTTAGGTGGGCTCAGAGTCTCCTGTGGCAGATCCAGGGTCCAGGCCATGCCCTTGGGCTGTAGTGGGCAGTCCCTGGTCATGAGCCGGCCTAGCCAGTGGCTCTTACGCTGGCCAGTGGGCTGCACGTGGCCTGGCAGGTAGGGAGCCAGGCCCTGCAGGTGGCATAGCCGGAAGTTCTTGGGCTTCTCTGGGCGCTGGGGCACTGCTGCTGCTGAGCACCCAGACCTCCTTTGTAGATGTTGGGTGGTACGTCAAGGTGGCTGGGGTGTTCTCGGGCCCAGCTTGCTGCATCTGTGGAGGGGTGAGTGAGAGGGTATGGCTGGCAGACTGCAGCAGCCATGAGGGGAGAACAGGTCACGTGCTCTAAGTCCAGCTCATGTGATGGGCTCCACCCATGTCTGCCAGCCTCAGCTTACCTGTCTGTCAGATGGTCTCAGCCTATGCCTCCCACCTTCTCAACATTGTAAGGCTGGAGGCACCAGGGGAAGGGGTGAGCCCGTCGGACAAGCTCAGGCCTCACCAAATAAGGCAGAGAGGCCAACAGGTTCCCGTCTGACAACATTCCAGAAATTCCTAACTAGAGCCCTCTCCCAATCTAGAAGAGTCGCAGTAACTTTCCAGTACCTGTCTAAAGGCCAATGAGCGACCCCCACATACTCTAGGTGAGCCAATCCTTGCGCCACTGTATACCTTTGCTCTCCCTCCCCCTAACTTCTTTAAAAACTCACTGCCTGCCCTGCTGAGCACGACTTCCCCGGACTGTGACTAGCCAGACCGGCGAACATCGCCCGGGATGGCGCTCAGTTAAACTCTTGGCTCCTTTGTGGCCTCCTCGCCTGGTTATTTCGGCTTGATTTTACCTTACAAACATTAACCCCCTTTCCCTTTCCCAACCAACAGGGAGGTATGAGAAGTCTTGAGACCTTGGCAAGATATCTTTCAGTCTTTCTGCTGTCACTTTTTGCCCCCTACCCTAGAAAAGAGCATCCCAGTGGTGAGTATAGAAATTGCCTGGTGGGTCCAGGATCACACAGCCCAGGGTCACACAGTCTGGACCAGTAGCCATTCCCCTCTCCCAAGCATGCATGTCTCTGAAGCCACCCAGGTGTTTTTGGGCCCAAGTCGGACTCCCTGCAGCCCGGCACCTTCTCTTATGCGCAGCTCAGAGAATGCACAGCCCAAAGCCTCCATGGAGGGCCAGTGTAGTGGGGGAGGAGTGGCCCAGCCCCCTGTGTGGCAGGGCTCCCTTCTCCCCTGCTTAGGGGTTGGGTCTGCATGCCTCCCATGGCAACTGGCACTATGATGTCACAGGGAAGACTCCCAGCCTTCCGGGATCCCCAAGTTTGGGGGAGGAGGATGTCCAGGGCAGGGTCGCGGTGGGAGGACGGGTGAGGGAGTGGAACCTGAGGGGAGGTCCCTGTTGCCTCTGGCTTGGGCAGGCCGCACCAGACTCAGCTCTTGCAGGTTGGAGAGTCACTCCCTGGGGCATGACCTCTTGGGGTCTCAGTTTCCTCATCTGTGGGTGGGAAATGGGGGTATAGGGGTACAGAGTTGGTGAGACCTGGGCAGTGTTTTGAGCAGGCTGAAAAGGTGGTTCTGGGTGATTGGGCAAGTCACTTCACTTTTCTGACTGTCCATTTTTCCAGAAGTAGATGATAGGGTATTGTGTGGATCACACCACGTGTCAAGGAGAGGATGTGGAGAACTGGAGCTCTCGCGTACTGCTGGGGGAAATGTAAAACTTAAAACCACTACTTTGCGAAGCAGTTTCTTAAAAAGTTAAACTTCCAATTCTCCACAGATGACGTGATCTTAGAGAAACTTCACACTTGAAAAAAACCTATTAAAACACGTGGAAAGATGTTCAACATAATTAATCTTAGGGAAATGCTAATTTAGACCACAGTGAGATACTATTTCTCACCCAGGATGATGATTATCATTTTTAAAAAAAACAGAGTGACAGTGTTAGGGAAGATGTGAAGAAGCTGGAGCCCCCTACCCTGCTGCTGAACCTGTGACTGCCGACCACGTGACCCAGCAGTTCCACTCCCAGGCATACGCTCAGGACTGACGGCAGATACTTAAGCAAACACTCCACTGAAATGCTCTGACCTTTGTCATAGTGACCACGTATGCGCGGATCTACTCGGGGACTCGTTTATGCTTGCCCGGCTGTTACTTCGCTATTACCACTGCAGGGGCGGAGGGCGGCGCTCCGTTCTGGACTCAGCTCACTTCGCCTCCCAGCCCTTCTCTGACACCTGTGTCCCGGCCGCGACAGACAGGAAGCGAGGCTCCAGGTGAGCCCCCGGCGGACCCGCAGGCCTACCCCTCTGTAGGCCAAGGTTGCCAAGACAACCGCCGCGGCACGAGGCCCCGGGCGAATTCCGGCCTGTGGTGAGGCCCGAGCCCGCTGCGCGTGGGCCCCGCTGCGCGTGGGCGGGTCACAGCCCAGTCGCCTTTCACCGCTTAGCGGCCAGTTCGGGTCTCTGCACCTCGGGGGATTCAGATGCGGGCCAGGCAGTTTACACCTGCCAGAGAAAAGCGTGCTGGGCACAGGACCCAGGAGGGAGATATGGCTTCGTCATATATTCCTACATTTCTTCTAGGGGAGTTTAGGAAATGAGAAGCAGTACATAAGGCTCCTAGCATAGTGCCAGGCACATAGTAGGTGCTCAGAACGTGTCAACCGGTGCCAATAATCTGTCTGCAAAGTGCGCGTAGAGGGTCGGCCCACCGCGCGACTCCCGGAATCGGGATCCCATGCCCCCTTCCTCGGCGCCCCCGGAACGGCCTGGTGGCCTCCTCTCCTGCGCATGCGCACACGGTTCGGGCGCTTCGCTTCCCGTCTTGTTTGGCCCCGGCCGCGCGCCGTTTAGGGCTCCGTGCGTTGCCATAGAGATTCTCGAGCGCCGGTGCCCAGGCGGCCGAGAAGCTGGACTCCCAGGGACCAGAGCGCCATGTCTTTCCGCGACCTCCGCAGTAAGGCAGCCCTTCCCCCTGTGACCGGCCGGTCCTTCTGAGACTTGGGGCTCCGGCCCTTCGGGTCCCCGGTCCGAGGCTCGAGCCGCCGGTGCCCCTGTCGCGGGCCCCCGAGCCCCGGAGGCGGCCCCGGCGCTCTGCCGCCCCCCAGGCCGAGCGCCCAGCCCCCGCTCAGCGCTTTTTGCGATGCTGGGAAGTTCTGCATCTGCTACTGGCCACGTGTGGCTAGTGCTGCTGAGGAACCCGTTTTAATTTTATCTAATTTTAATTCTATAATCACATGGGTTGGTTCGCCGCCATGTTGGAAAACACAGAAACCGTGTTTGAATTGGGTTAGCTTAGAGCTCAAAAAAAAAAAAAAACTCGAACAAAACCGAGGAGCACGCTGGAGAATAATAATTAAGGCTAACTTTTTTTTTTTTAGTTTTTACAATCTGCCAACAAACCTTTGTACCTCATTTCATTTACTCCTCTGAACACCTCTGTGCTCCTGTATTTGGAGATGAGGAAACGGGCTCAGAGAGGCCCAGTAACTCGGTCAAGGGACGCAGGTGGTAAGAGCTGGCGCTGGAGTTTTTGAGTTCAGGTTGTCGAACCTCCAGAGCCTCTCGGGGCTGGTGAGGACAAGGGAACCCAAGTGCTTGCTTAGGAGGGTGGGGAAGTGGAACGGAGATAAGAGAATTAGTTACTACTCTCTGGGGGGACAGCTGTTACACCCTTGGCATTTCACATTCAGTATCTTATTTTTAGTCCTCGCTTTTGCAGCGAGGTAGGTAGTATAATTCCTGGATGAAGTTCTTGGAGACCCAGAGAGAGAAAGTAGGTTGCTTTAGGTCATTCAGAACTAGGTGGAACCAAAGATCACGGCACAGGACTCTGTGAATCAAAATCTCTTGTTTTTTATTCACTATCATTCGCTGAATCTCAAGCAGTTCAGGTAACTGGCTCCACCTGGGTAGGTGTAGAAGACGAATGCCAGTTTGCCACGATCGGAGGGGCTTCTTCACTGCAAACTGCTGGCGCCTGAAACATCACCATTAAAGATTACTCCTTTCAGGGATACAATCCTACAGTTGTTGTAGGCGAGTTTAGGAAATGAGAAGTAGTATGTAGGGCGCCTAGCACAGTGTCAGGCACATAGTACGTGCTCCAGAGAACGAATTGCATTTTCTACCATGTGAAATACAGGAAGAGGCATCACATGTCACTGACGCACCTGCCAGCACCATAGCGCGGATTTTGCCTGCTGGGATTTGAAGGTTCTTGGTTGACTGTATGTTGCAGAGACAAGCGTTGCCTCCCACTTAGTTTACAGAGGCCAGCACTCTGCTGGGGGACATTGAATGAAGTTGTGTTGGGGAAAGTGTACAAGAAGGGGATTTCTGAACTTTTTGACCTTAGATGAATGCTGTCCAATTGTGCAATTTATGATGATAATCTTAGTCAAATTGTCTGCATTTTGACAGTAATAGAACCTGGCTACTACTTAGTGGGAAGAAGTATTAGGCAGTGCCTGACTGTGTTATGGGAAGGCTGCTGTTTTATTTTCCATCACTATTCAGATTTCCCAAAACACAGCGACAGAGGTCCTTTGTGCCATTGCTTTTTCCTCTGTTCATTACCTTCTGTCTGGTGACATCCAGCCTAAACTCCAATGCCCAGGTAGCTCATTTGTGAAGTTTGTTGGGACATTTTGAAGATCCACCTTCAAACAGAATGAGAGCAGACATCGCATAACCAGAAGCCTGCTGGATACAGATGTTCTGTGTTTCCTGCTGTACGTCATGGAAACACAAAACACATTCATTGTGTTCATTTCTAAGTCCTGGTTAAAGCTAGTGACTGCAACCCCCAGCATCAAGTACTAATACTGTTTCTTAATCTGTTTTATAATCAAAATATTGCTCTGCAGTTCAACCATTCTAAGATTTCCCTAAGTACAATGCTACTAATCTTTAAAATTTGTTATTAAGGCCCTATATACTCCCTAAAAAAAAAAAAGGAACTCAGAAACATGAACTTCACCCCACCCACCCCCACAAATGAGCACTCTTTAACATTTAAAAATATTTATTCTTTATGACTTTCATAAGCCCAGGTATTTCTCATTCTGAGTGGTAAAGATATCCAAGAGAGAAATGAGATATCAAAGAGAGAAATTCAATTCACAACCCATTCTATTCCCCATTGCAATGTACAGCTTGCACTTCTCCCTTTCAACTTAAAGTTTTTAGGAAGAAGATTTGGTATTTTAACTTTTTAGAAAGTCTTCTGGTTTTCCATTCTTTTTTCTGGTTTTGGGGTTTTTTTTGTGTCATACCTTTATCTCATTTTCTCTTTCCCTCTTAGAGAGTTGATAAATAGTTCCCAAAATAGTGTCAGTAGATTGGAAATAAGAAAGGAAAACAAAGAAGTTATCTAAATAAGTAGTTGCTGTTTGATGAAAAGCTGACTGAATTATATTTTCCCTTGGACAGACTTTACAGAGATGATGAGAGCCTTGGGATACCCTCGACATATTTCTATGGAAAATTTCCGCACACCAAATTTTGGACTTGTGTCTGAAGTACTTCTTTGGCTTGTGAAAAGGTTAGTACTGCACTTCATGGAGGTCTCAGAATGAATACTGCATTGTCCTGACTGACAGCCTAGAAACGGTACTGTTGTGAAGCAAAGGGAAAAGTCCAACGAAGTAGGAGTTTGGTAGATTCAGCTGTAACCTGCTAAAAATCATCTTGAGTTAAAGAATGCGGTGGAAGAAGGGAATATGCCAGGCAATGAGAAAAGGAGGATATTTCTCCCTACTGGTCGATGGCACTGGTCCAAGCTCCTCTTCATCCTCTCACCCCCGTCAAAGAGTCACGGGGCCCTCCTTAGAGAAACCCTGATGAGCACCCCGGGTTAGAAGTAATTCAGATTTCATTTTGTGTGAAAAGTCTAATGTGATTCAGGGTTGGCAAGCCGTTTGTTAAGGAGGTAGTGAGTGAATCTTGCAGATGTTGCAGGCTATATACTATCTCTCACGTATTCTTCCCTGTGTTTTGTTTTTTATAACCCTTTAAAAATGTGAAAACACTTCTTAGCTTGCAGGCTGTACAGGAAGACGCCAAGGGCTGCAGTCCGCCGACCCTGGTGGTCATCAGTAACTCAAAAACAGTGCCTCCAACTGTTCTACTGTCTCTCAAAGCTAACTAGTCAGCCCTAACTAGTCAGCTCTGTATCAAGGGCTGCCAGCCAGAGTAATAGTTCTAATTATTTTAATTAAACTTTGAGGTCTGAGATAGATTTCATTTTGTAAGCTGAGCCCCAGATTTGCTTTTTGAAAACATTTACACCTATTCTCAGGCGAGGATTTGCTCCCTTAGGTGTTTGGTATTTTGTGTTGCTTTTGAAGTCTTTCTTCATTTTACTTCTTCAGCTGGGGACTCAGAGAGCTTCCTGCCACAGATCTGTTGTCCACTCAGTTGTCCACTCTATTTTGTGGACTTTGTACTTAATTAACTTGTCTTCTACTTCTGTGATAGGTATGAACCTCAGACTGATATCCCTTCTGATGTTGAGACTGAACAAGACCGTGTTTTCTTCATTAAGGCAATTGCCCAGTTCATGGTTAGTTCATGGTTATTTGATGGAGTTGTGGAATTAAATAATTTGAAAAAGAGAGTTCTAGTTAGGCCTGCTTTCAAGTTTCTAAATCGCTTTCATTATTAGGTTTCTGTGGAGCCGTTTCACCAGCAAAGGTTTTTGTTTTTTTGTTTTTAATTCATTATTTGTAAAGATTTTTATTTGTTTTTGAATAGGTAATGTATTTCATGGTTCAAAAAAGTTTCTTTAAATCATCAAATCACTGTGTTGCACATCTGAAACCAATATAGTATTGTATACCAACTATATTCCGATAAAAAAAGAAAAAAAATTAGAGCATAAAACAATACAGAATAAAATGACTTTCTCTTCCATCTGCCATCAGTCCAATTCCATTCCCAGCAATCACTATTTTTAATATCTTCTAGAGCTTCTTTCTGTATAGGTAAGCAAGTAGAATATACTTTTTCTTCTTTTCAAACAAATAGTGGCATACAGTACACCACTATCTAGAATCTAGCTTTCTTCACCTGATGGTACTTGGAGAACTTTCCAAATACATACAGAGTTTTCTCATTCTCTCTTACACCTGAGTATTATTGCTTGCATGGATATATGTAATGTATGTAATTTATATAGCTAGGCATTTGGGTTGTTTGTGACTTTTGCTCTTTGAAACAGTGCAGTAGCGAGCAGCCTGTAGCTTCATCTTGTTTGTGAGCCTCTCTTTAGGATGAGGCCTGAGGGTTGGAGTTGCTGGCTCAAAAAACGTGTGCATTTGTCATTTCTGTCATTTACCAAATCGCTCCCCAGCAAGACTGTATTAATTTACGTACCCACTTGTGTATGAGTCACCTGATTGGGTCATACCCCAGTTATTGGCAGAGACATTTTCAAATCACCCATGTGGGATTTGGCTTACATTTTATATGAGAAGGGCCTTAAGCTTTTTTTTTTTGTCTGAAAATAGGCCACCAAGGCACATATAAAACTCAATACAAAGAAGCTTTATCAAGCAGATGGGTATGCAGTGAAAGAGCTCCTGAAGGTCACCTCTGTCCTTTACAATGCTATGAAGACCAAAGGGATGGAGGGCTCAAGAGTGGGAGAGGAAGATACCAGTAAATTCAAGTTCGATCTTGGCCCAAAGGTAAGGAAGTGAAAGGCTTCGCAGTGAGGGGCGGAATGCGTGATGCAGAACCAGAACTTCCCTTATTCCCTGACGGGGGGCACAGGTCAGCTTTGTGCTCATCAGCACTTGGATAACAGCAGAAGTCACAATAAATTCAAGTATTTGTTGAAAGTCTGCTATCTGTCAAGGCACGCTTGGGGACAGGTGTGAACAAAAAGGACAGAGATGCTGTCCCTGCAGTTCACTGGGAAGTCAGACTGCAAACTGTAAGTGGAAGGAAGGGCAGGTAGATGCGAGAAATGTGTGGAGACGAGTGAGGCAGGGCAGGGCTGGGGACCGCTGGGGACGTCTTAAATAGGGGGCAAGGTGACTTCAGGGACTGGACGTTTTCAGCAGAGATCTGCAGAGGGAAGTAGCAGGCTGTGCAGTGGGGAGGGAAGCCATCCTCTGATCAAAGTGTGCCTTGCGTGTTTGAGGAAGCACAAGGGGGCCCCGGGATGAGAGCTGGAAGGGGAGGCAGCCCCAGACCCCGGGGGCCCGGCACGCCACTGTAAAGACTTGGACTGTTGCTCTGAGGCAGATTGTTGAGTTTTGAGCAGAGATTTGAGATCTGAAGCTTCCTATAAAAGGACCACTCTGGCTGCTGGACTGGAGGCAGACTGAAAGGGGACGCAAGGGTGGGAGCAGAGCCGTTGTGGGCGAGGTAGCTGCCGGGGCTCAGCCGTGCTTGGAGGGAGGGCCAGCTGCCCGGCGGGAGGGCTGGATGGAAGCAGCAAACCAAAGTGACAGCTGTCTTCTGTCACTTACTGCGGCGGCTGAACTCCGGCTCCCCCCCACCCCGTTCCATGGAGAGTCAGTTCGTAGGGATCACCTCACTCTTGAGGGAGCCCCAAACAAAAGGCTCTGGCAATTTTATGCCCTCCCAGGTGGGGGAAGTCTGGGAGTGGAAACGCAGTGGGTATGAGTTAGTGGGAAAGTGTCCTCAAGTTTTCTCCCCGCTTCTCCCTGCTTCTCCCCATAAGGAGGCCTCAGCAGAGGCCCTGAAGAGAACCTGGCCCAAGGCCTCAGGTGAGAAGACCTGGGAGTGGGGGTGGTAGGGCTCGGAGTGCAGGCATCTGTAGGCTCACGACCATGCAGAGGGGCCTCAGCCCTTGACGGCACCTCCCCTCCGAGACTGCAGAGCACAGGGAGCCTGGAGCCCCACGTCTGAGGGGGCCGTAGGAGCAGCTTCTCCCATGGGGCCAGCCGGATAAAGCGTTTGTCACTGTCATGGTCTGCCCTGAAAAGTCACACACAGGTTTTTAACCAGGAGCCAGACTCCTCAGTGGGAAGAAGTGGCCAGAGGTTAGAACATACTTTGAAGGCAGATCCTGCGGGACCAGCTGTGGGTGCAGGTAAACTATGCAAGGCAGACCCCAAAGCAGCACCACGGAGAAGCGTCTGTGATGCTGGCCATGTTCTGTGCACCATCCTGGGCAGGAGCTACTAGCCACATATGGCTAGCACAGCCGAGGAACTGAGTTTTAAATTTCGTTTAATTTAAAATTATCTGACATTGAAAATGGCCATATGGGGCTAGTGGACGCTGTTTCAGGTATCACAGCTAACGTTTTTGGTTCGAGTGACGAAGTTGCTGTTTACTGAAATGGGGCGGAGTTTGGGAGGAGCGGGTTTGGCAAGAGAGATGAGGAGTTCCGCTTGGAGCACAGGAAGCGTAGGATTTATGAGGTGGCCGGGTGGGACGTCAGGCCTCAGCCATAGGTGGTGTTAAAGCCGTGAGAGCGAGCAGCAAAGGAGGCGGGGAGACTGAGCTCTGGCGCTGCCAGCTGAGGGGCGGGGAAGGTGCCGAGACCCCTGCCGAGGAGACGGAGGCTCGCTGCCCTATGGGAGGCAGAGCTGGAGCTTGTGGAGCTGGGTCCTGGGAGAGAAGGCAGTCATGACTGAGTGAAGAGGGACGGTTGTTCCAGGGGTTTGAAAATAAGAGAGAGGAGGTGGGAATTCGTTGTTCAGGGGAGAGGGGGAGTGAGCGGAGCAGGGAGATGTGTGCTTGGGCTCTTTGGAAAGTGTAACATATTCGAGGAAGAGGGGGTGACACGCAGTCTAAGGAGGACGCTCGTGCACAGCAGCAGCTGTCACCCCATGGGAGCCACATCTGTGTAAGGGCCTCGTGCGTGATCTCCTGTGGCCTCGTGGCAGCAGGGGCATCGGGTCTGCAGTAGGAAATATGTCCCTCAGGTTCCCCTCTGGCCACCCCACTGGGGTCCCCTGTTGTGATCTGGTCCAAAGAGGGAGCCTGTCAGCTTTCACCCTCCTACAGCTCCTGGTTGAAGATTACATTTGACTTGACATTTGGGTTTTCGGAGGGACCCGGGGGTCCTGGGAGCTCTTACATGGTATGTAAACATGTCTGTGGAAAACGTTCTACAGCCAACTGTCCCGACAGGAGGTAGGAGTGATATTGACAGTGGATGCTTCTGAATGCCTATTAACCTGTCCCTGATGTTTCTGGTTTTTTTATTTTCCCTTCAGATTGCAGATTTGAAAGCAGCCAGGCAGCTTGCTTCTGAAATCACCTCCAAAGGAGCGTCTCTGTATGACTTGCTGGGCAAGGAGGTGGAACTGAGGGTGAGCAGCATTCAGACAACTCAGCTGCTTCCTCGGCTGAGCAGATTTTCCAGGTTTTCTTCTCCAGTTCTGTTCATCCCTGTTCTGATTTAAACTCTACCTGGTTAAATGAGATAATGTGTAGAAAAGCTTCCCAGTGTAAGCTGCTTGTCCTGCCTGTGGTGGGCACTGGCTCCCAGTCAGGATGGCAGATGCAGGGCCCATTGCCACAGCTTCTCCCAGTGCCTGCGGTAGAGTTTATTGCCCCTGAGCTCCTCCGGGTGGACTCAGCCTCAGTGTGCTTGTCAACAGTGCTCTTCTGAGCCCCGTGGAATCACCTGGGAATGTCCAACACCTACCGATGCCCCGCTTCCATGTGGTGTCACTGGTGTGGAATGTGACCTGGGCATCGGGAGTTCTAAGTCTCCCGAGTGAAGGTGACATACAGCAGTTTGGAACCAGTAACCCAGGCAGTCGCTACCATTCAGCTGAAGCTGACATATGGTTGAATTTTTTTGCAGTCCTTGTTTGAGCCAGTGCCAATCAAGGAGAATGCTCCACCTACTCACTAAGTGGTGGAGAATGTGGTTCCTAAAACTCCTAAAGAGCTGCTAAATCCCCTGATGTCCAGGTGTCCCCTGATACCAGTGAGTCAATGTCTGGGGGTGAGCCAGGCAATTGGTGTTTAAAGATCTCTAGGTGATGCCAGGGTGCAGCAGATTTGGGGGTCACTGGTTTAAGAAGAAATGCAGTGCCGTGTAATTCTTACCTGTAAGGATATATGGCATTTGAAGCATATGTGCTGACATCTGATGTTTTGAAGTGAAAAGCATTTTCTTCGCTCTGCTTCTCTCAGGTGTGTCAGCCACGACCACTTGCTCACGGCCTTGCCTGTGTCCTGGCATCACTGCTGTGGATACTGGTATTTTTCCTCCTCCCACTTCTCATTTTTGCCCTAGTTGCAGTGTAGAAGTGGGGGGCTTCGGTGCCAGGTCACCTTTCCTGTTCTTGGCATATTGACCTCCTGGGTGCCACCTGGTGGAGGGCAGTTGGCAGAACAAACTGCCGCGAGCATCTCAGGTTAGGTCACTGCTGAGGCAGTGCCAGGGGCTCCCGGGTTTCTGCTCATGGTGCAGCTGTGCGCATTTGTCTGCGCATGTCCGTCACAGACCTGGGCATAAGAGCTGGTCCCTGGCTAACGGCCGAGGAGCTGTGGCTTCAGTGTGAGACTCCACTGGGACTCCCCGGGGACTCTCAGCACCACGCTGCAGTGAGTCAGAATCATCAGTGGCTGAACTGTTGCATGGAAGCCATGAGACCCTGAATACAGCACTTAAATTCTGTGCAGTCAATGTCTGGGGAAGAGCCCCTCTCCAGTATTTGTCTTCCATGCACTCAGCAAACGTTCCTTGAAGACCAGCACCATGCTCTGTGTCCTGATTAAGTCAACTCCTGCCCTTGATCCTTTCCACCAGTGAGGGAGATAAGCTGTACTGTGGATTAAAAGCAGCCCAAGATGGAATTTGATGAAGTGCTCCAGGGCCCTATAACTGTATTCATGTTACACCCACGTCTCAGACATTGGCAGCCCCGCAGGACAGGCACACGTGCCCACTTTGACTGCATGCTGGCCTACACCAGTCACAGGGCCACTGATGCTTGTCACTGGTTTCCGTTGGCAGTGACAGGCAACCTGAAAGGGACTAGAGGTCGGCAGGGGGTTCAGACAGCAAGTTGAGTTGCCCCTGGTTTAGAGGTCTCCTGAATGGAATGCAGGCAAAGAAGATCCTGTGGTACGGGGCTGTGGGGCCTGCAGCTGAGGAGGAGGGCCTTGAGCACCGGGCAGAGGCCAGGTTGGCGGCAGGATTACGGGAGATGTTTGGAGGAGGGGATGGCGGAAGTGTTTCTGCACTGGCGAGCCACAATGTAATGAAACTCCTGAGAATCAGGCCCTAGGCATAGCTCGAATTGGTTTTGAGAATTCCACTTCTGAGTGTAATTTTACTTAATTGTTTCCTGTAGGAACTGAGAACAGAAGCAATTGCCAGACCTCTGGAAATAAACGAGACTGAAAAAGTGATGAGAATTGCAATAAAAGACATTCTGGTAGGAGTGCTTTGCTTTGATATAGTATTTTTGTGCCTGGGACTCAAAAATACTGATTTCCTGCCTCCATAAGACAAAACAAGCCTGGCCTCACAATAAAGGGACATGTTAGAATGAAGACTGTGGAGGGCATTCTAGAATACCGAGGTTACTTACTGTTATTTTTCCCCTTGTTATAAATATGAACAATTTCTCAAGTTATTAAAAATTATCAATTTTAATAATTTAATAATTCACTTAAATTCTTCAATAATTTTAATAAATACTCTATGGACTCTTCACACTTTAACCAATTAGTCACTGCTGGGCATTTAAATGATTTCTAGGTTTTCTTAATTCCAAATAGCACTAAAACAAATAGAATGATTACTGTCCCTACTCACCAGGATCAGTGATTATTTGCTTATCTCACCTAATGCATTTATTTGGAAGACAGTGAGGGGGACTCTAGACTCAGACTTCTTGGGTTTAAGTCCCACTGTGTGATCTTAGGCAAGTTACTTAACATCTCTGTGCCTTTCTTCATTCATCTGTTAAGTGGGGGAAGGGCAGTGCCGATCGCATGGGGTCCTTATCAGCAGTCATTATGACTGTGCATGTCATACCTAGTTTCCGGCACATAGTAGGTATCCAGCCGTCACTGGTGATTCATTCAGGAAACACAGGCAGGGGAGCCATATGTAAGTTAAGAGTAGCATAAAACAAGAATTTGCTGTGAGTTGTACAAAACTCTACAACTGACCGTTTTTATAACATCCTTGTTGTGAAACAGTGATACTCCCTGGGCAGCCCAGCACAGGGATCAGAGCCTGAGCAGGGTGAGCAGGGCAGGGCAGCCAGGGTGGGAGACTGATTACATGCAGGCAGATTGATCGAGTAAGTAAATACATTGGAGAAGGGGGTTACAAATATGAAAAGGGAGGAAACTGGAGATGTTGATTAAGTGCATGGTTTTCAATACATAGAGATCTGGGAAAAGATTTTAACATGAAGTATGTATATGTAGGGTATGTACGTCTGTATACATAAATATGCACACCCCCACACACATTTGTACATCTCTTAGTGCTCACATATACAGCGCCCACATTGTGGCTTCAGTGCCATTCTCCACTGAAAGGACCTGAGGCTCGTGGGGAGAAATGGCTGCCTGCAGAACTGTGCCAGATCTTGTGCCAGAGAGCCAGGAAGTGCTCAGAGAATGAAAGGGATCTGTCAGAAGGACACAGAAGCCAGCTTGAGGCTTGTGCCAGAGAGCCAGGAAATGCTCAGAGAATGAAAGGGATCTGTCAGAAGGACACAGAAGCCAGCTTGAGGTGTTTCCCCTCACCAAGCCAGGGACAATTGAAGCATCAAAATAGATAAATTATAGTAAAGGGTGATAGACCCTTGGATGAAGTGGTAGACCATGAGTTTTTACTTTATATAAAAAAATAAATGAATATATTGAAAGCTGATGAGCAGATTTTTCACATGGTTTCCGAGTAGGTGTCCACAAAATACTAATTGCAGGCAAAAGTTAACTTCACGTGAGAGGCCTGGCAGATGCCCCTTTAATCATGTGACCAAAGTGAACGTCGCCAGTGAAGGAACAAACCAGAAGCACGCCAGCCCGGAAGGCCTGTGCTACTCTCGCCTGAGATGCGTGATCTGCAGCTGATCTGCGGCTGGTGGAGAGACATTGTACCACCTGCTTGGCCCCACTCTTGAGCAGTGAACAGGCCGTGAGTCCAGGAAGGGCTGTGGAGCTGTTCCAGACTGACGTAGGCTAAGGAGACGTGGCGACAACGCCAAGGGGCTCCCATCCTCTGCTGGCTTCACAGGGGCAGGTGTGGGACGTGAATGTGCCTGAGGTTTCTTGTGGCCGTATTTCAAAATTCATTTCCGGTTTTGATGGCCTGTTGTGGCCATATAGAGGAAGTTCTTATCTGTGGGAAATACACACTGAAATGAAGTGTTTAGAGTTGACGGGACCTCAGCTCAGCAGCTCCCTTTCACCCAGGTCAAAAAAAAATACTTTGTGTTTATTATACTCCGGCTGTTTAAGTTTGTGATTGTTTCCAAATGTAAAGTAGTTTTACATGATAATACTCTGGCTGATTCGAGTTAGCATCGGCATACATGTGCCTTAGTTCTAAGGGTATATTAAAAATTGAACAGCCAAATGAGGGCACAGTTCATTTCTTGGTCAGTACCTTTTAAGATATCTTTTTGTTTTTGGAAAATATCCATGATATTTGATAACTAAAAAAGAGAACCAAAACAATGGCATGGATACTTAAGAGAGAAAGAAATACAGGATTAATTTCAGAAAGCTAGGGAAAAGTGTGTTTATCACATTGATCTTATTTGAGGAACAGATACTGTTAAACCGTTTTTGTTTTTGAGGTCAGATAAATTCACTAGGTTTTAATCTGACATTTATTCAGAGAAATAGTTGCCGTGGACCTGAGTTGTTTGTTCAGAAAGGAGACACACCTTGTCTTCCTGAGAGAGCGAACGCACATCTCTGCTTGGGTTTTTTAAGCACTTGCCGCAAATGGATGGTTAGGGATTTGATTATTTTCACAAAAGCATCTTGGAAATGGTTAGTGTACTTAGACAAAAAACAGTAAGCCATAAGTTANGCATCTCAGGTTAGGTCACTGCTGAGGCAGTGCCAGGGGCTCCCGGGTTTCTGCTCATGGTGCAGCTGTGCGCATTTGTCTGCGCATGTCCGTCATAGACCTGGGCATAAGAGCTGGTCCCTGGCTAACGGCCGAGGAGCTGTGGCTTCAGTGTGAGACTCCACTGGGACACCCCGGGGACTCTCAGCACCACGCTGCAGTGAGTCAGAATCATCAGTGGCTGAACTGTTGCATGGAAGCCATGGGACCCTGAATACAGCGCTTAAATTCTGTGCAGTCAATGTCTGGGGAAGAGCCCCTCTCCAGTATTTGTCTTCCATGCACTCAGCAAACGTTCCTTGAAGACCAGCACCATGCTCTGTGTCCTGATTAAGTCAACTCCTGCCCTTGATCCTTTCCACCAGTGAGGGAGATAAGCTGTACTGTGGATTAAAAGCAGCCCAAGATGGAATTTGATGAAGTGCTCCAGGGCCCTATAACTGTATTCATGTTACACCCACGTCTCAGACATTGGCAGCCCCGCAGGACAGGCACACGTGCCCACTTTGACTGCATGCTGGCCTATACCAGTCACAGGGCCACTGATGCTTGTCACTGGTTTCCGTTGGCAGTGACAGGCAACCTGAAAGGGACTAGAGGTCGGCAGGGGGTTCAGACAGCAAGTTGAGTTGCCCCTGGTTTAGAGGTCTCCTGAATGGAATGCAGGCAAAGAAGATCCTGTGGTACGGGGCTGTGGGGCCTGCAGCTGAGGAGGAGGGCCTTGAGCACCGGGCAGAGGCCAGGTTGGCGGCAGGATTACGGGAGATGTTTGGAGGAGGGGATGGCGGAAGTGTTTCTGCACTGGCGAGCCACAATGTAATGAAACTCCTGAGAATCAGGCCCTAGGCATAGCTCGAATTGGTTTTGAGAATTCCACTTCTGAGTGTAATTTTACTTAATTGTTTCCTGTAGGAACTGAGAACAGAAGCAATTGCCAGACCTCTGGAAATAAACGAGACTGAAAAAGTGATGAGAATTGCAATAAAAGACATTCTGGTAGGAGTGCTTTGCTTTGATATAGTATTTTTGTGCCTGGGACTCAAAAATACTGATTTCCTGCCTCCATAAGACAAAACAAGCCTGGCCTCACAATAAAGGGACATGTTAGAATGAAGACTGTGGAGGGCATTCTAGAATACCGAGGTTACTTACTGTTATTTTTCCCCTTGTTATAAATATGAACAATTTCTCAAGTTATTAAAAATTATCAATTTTAATAATTTAATAATTCACTTAAATTCTTCAATAATTTTAATAAATACTCTATGGACTCTTCACACTTTAACCAATTAGTCACTGCTGGGCATTTAAATGATTTCTAGGTTTTCTTAATTCCAAATAGCACTAAAACAAATAGAATGATTACTGTCCCTACTCACCAGGATCAGTGATTATTTGCTTATCTCACCTAATGCATTTATTTGGAAGACAGTGAGGGGGACTCTAGACTCAGACTTCTTGGGTTTAAGTCCCACTGTGTGATCTTAGGCAAGTTACTTAACATCTCTGTGCCTTTCTTCATTCATCTGTTAAGTGGGGGAAGGGCAGTGCCGATCGCATGGGGTCCTTATCAGCAGTCATTATGACTGTGCATGTCATACCTAGTTTCCGGCACATAGTAGGTATCCAGCCGTCACTGGTGATTCATTCAGGAAACACAGGCAGGGGAGCCATATGTAAGTTAAGAGTAGCATAAAACAAGAATTTGCTGTGAGTTGTACAAAACTCTACAACTGACCGTTTTTATAACATCCTTGTTGTGAAACAGTGATACTCCCTGGGCAGCCCAGCACAGGGATCAGAGCCTGAGCAGGGTGAGCAGGGCAGGGCAGCCAGGGTGGGAGACTGATTACATGCAGGCAGATTGATCGAGTAAGTAAATACATTGGAGAAGGGGGTTACAAATATGAAAAGGGAGGAAACTGGAGATGTTGATTAAGTGCATGGTTTTCAATACATAGAGATCTGGGAAAAGATTTTAACATGAAGTATGTATATGTAGGGTATGTACGTCTGTATACATAAATATGCACACCCCCACACACATTTGTACATCTCTTAGTGCTCACATATACAGCGCCCACATTGTGGCTTCAGTGCCATTCTCCACTGAAAGGACCTGAGGCTCGTGGGGAGAAATGGCTGCCTGCAGAACTGTGCCAGATCTTGTGCCAGAGAGCCAGGAAGTGCTCAGAGAATGAAAGGGATCTGTCAGAAGGACACAGAAGCCAGCTTGAGGCTTGTGCCAGAGAGCCAGGAAGTGCTCAGAGAATGAAAGGGATCTGTCAGAAGGACACAGAAGCCAGCTTGAGG